CCATCAACTAAATATATTCAATTCCTTTCGACGCCCCTCTGTCCCTTGTGTTCTTTTAAAGGGCCTTTAGAAATAATGATCTTTAAAATTAGAGAGTGAAAAATAAAGTGGGAAAAATCTGCCATTTTTCCATGAACGTGCATCCTCTGTCCAGCATTGTGCTTTAAGTCTTGTCCTGCTGCTCCGCAGGGAACCTATGCAACAGTTTTCAAAGGGAGGAGTAAGCTGACGGACAACCTGGTGGCGTTGAAGGAGATCAGACTGGAGCATGAGGAAGGGGCCCCGTGCACGGCTATCAGAGAAGGTAAGAACACTTGGAGGTTATGTAACAAGCAAACAAACCTGTTCTCCTTTGAGGTAAACGTAACGCTAAGAGCTCCAGGGCTGTTTTGAGGTTAACATTAAAAGTATATGAATGCAACAGGATCCTGATACACTGAAGAACTAGTTTTTGATGCCTTAAGAAGATAGGACTGTGACAGAGCAGCTCATAGAACATAATAATAGCTAATAATAATTGATGCTGTTCACCTTTTGCAATATTAAAGTGGCAACATCAAGCAACAGGGGAGTGGTGGTCTTGTGGTAAGGGCATAGAGCTTGGAAAGGAAAGGTTGTGAGTTCGAAATCCACTCCCACAGACTGCCACTCTGGCTCCCTGAGCAAAGACCCTTAACCCCACACTGCTCCCCGGGCGCCGCATAATGGCAGCCCACTGCTCCCCAAGGGAAGGGGTTAAATGCATAGTTAATTTCATTGTGCTGTACTTGTGACAGTGTAATGACAATAAAAATGCCAGAAAAAAATTAAATGAAGGCTAAAGAACACCAATCCACTTTATTTATATAGCCTGATTGCAATAAACACAAGTGCTGCACAAAAAGATAAAATAACTCAAATAAATAAAAGTAAATAAAATAAAATAAAAGCACTGCCCGCACAGGATAAAAATATGCATGTGTATACATAAAATCAACACTCTACATGGTGTCAAAAGCCAATCGTTAAAATTGAGAAAATTTAAAGACATCCAAGCTTTAAGGTCATGTAAACATTTTAAAAGTGGTTCAACAGAGTAGGAATCAGTCTTTTTGAGGGGGACATACATCTGGCTGTCATCCGCATAACAGTGAAAGGAAATGCCATGTTTCCTGAGAATGGAGCCAAGTGGGAGTAGATAGAGAGAAAATAAAAGAGGGCCAAGCACGGAGCCCTGTGGGACCCCACATGAGAGAGGAGCAGTGGTGGACAGAGAGTCCTCTAGGCTGATGCGGAAAGTGGCAGGACATGAACCATTCCAATGCTGAGCCACTGATGCCCACCCACTGCTCCAAACGAGAAATGAGGATTTCATGGTCCACTGTATCAAATGCTGCAGTCAAATCTAAAAGTACAAGGAGTGTCCAGAGTCAGTAGCTAAAAAGATGTCATTAAAAACATTTAAAAGCACTGATTCTGTGGTGTGCAATGTTTTAAAACCAGATTGGAAAATCTCAAGAAGATTTAGTTAATTTAAAAAGTCCATGAGCTGGGAATAAACGATCTTCTCTAAGATTTTTGAGAAGAAAGGCAACTTAAAAATAGGCCTAAAATTTGACAGAACAGTAGGATCCAGCCCAGGTTTTTTTTAATAAAGGCTGACCATGCAGGTCAGGGATAGTTGTGTGCAGAAGGTTCAAGCAGTTTTAGCTTTTTAAACAGCATCTGAAACTTTGTTTAGAGTTTAATAAGTTTAATAGCACCACTACCTTCCTAAGAGATGAGGGTAAAGCAGGAGTCTGACTATATTTCTCATTGGTAAGCAGAGTTTTTCTGCATGATTCCCGACATATCATCCTCCTCAATGTTACACTGAACCAGTCCTTTTGCAAATAGGCCAAGATGTTATGTTCTAGGTTATAAAGATCAGAAACATTTGTAACAAATAGTAAATGGAGAAAGCGACCGTGCATGTGATTTGAAGACATTGCTACTTAATGGCGAACAGATGCATGTATCTGTCATGAGGTTATAAATGACTTTTAGTTGTCTTAGATTTGCTACTAGTTAATCCTCTCCTCTTTGTTTTTAGTGTCTCTACTGAAGGACCTTAAACACGCCAACATCGTCACGTTGCACGACATCGTCCACACAGACAAGTCTCTCACACTGGTGTTCGAATACCTGGTGAGGCCTTCACCTCCTTGTCCTCTAACTCAGGCCCTCCTCTCATTGTGGATGCTAAAACATACTCCTTCATTTGTTTATTATTCATAATGTTGTGCATTTGAAGGGTTGTTTTCCAAATGTTAAAGGGTTTTTCAGTTCTCTTCTCTATACGCCCTCTCTCTCTTTTCCAGGACAAAGACCTTAAGCAGTACATGGACGACTGCGGGAACATCCTGAGCATGCAGAATGTAAAGGTGAGACCTCACAGGTGGCCAGCTGCCTTAATAGACTCCCAGGAGGTTTTCTTTTTTTTTTTTCTGTCTGTCTGCTGGTGTAAATCCAAGAAATGCTGCTTGTGTGCCCCCTGGTGGCAAGAGACTGAAGTTAGCAACCCTGTGTTGGAAGTCATTTATAACACCCTGATGTGCTTTTTATCACATTATTATACCACAATAAATCTGATGTATTTGTTACTTCCTAGTTTTATTAATCACTGATGTTTGTTTTCTGTAGATTTTTCTGTTCCAGATCCTGCGAGGCTTGGCCTACTGTCACAGGCGGAAAGTTCTCCACAGAGACCTGAAGCCCCAGAATCTGCTCATCAATGACAGAGGAGAGCTCAAGCTGGCTGACTTTGGTACGATCCAGAGCCATGATAAAAGTTTCAGTTTAGGGTCCTTTTATGCCTAATTCTTTTAGATTATGGCCTGGATCATGGGTTTTATTGTAAAAAA